CCGTTGTTCAAGTCCTATAATTGCTGTGTCGAGAATACCGACTAATTTGTCAATTGAAATTTTTTCGTTTTCAATAACCTTTGTGTCACTTTCTTCACTATCGGAAGTGAATTATAATGACAAGGAATTTGATTTAAATCATATCAAAGACGGAGCATATCGAGATGAAGTACTACATTTGGTAAAGAATTATAAGCCAAATAAAATAAAAACATTGCGCTGAAGATAAGGATAGTGCTGACAAATCAACTTCCAATTCATTCCGCGCCGCCGCCGAGCAGCGTGAAATTGATAACAGATTTCGGATTTCAAAAACACACTTTCGCTTTAGATCCTTTACATATTAACAAATATATATCGGAAATTCTATTTGATATAATCGAAAGTTTAAGCTTACTTTTATAAAATTGCTCTTTACAGTCTGCAAAAAATAATAAGCCGGATCCAATTCGAAATTAAGGAACAACGCAATCATCAACATTAACTGAAATAGATAATTAGATATTTTTAGCTTATACGTCCATTATACATAAAATGCGCACGCGAAAACGTATTCTGCACTTGCGCAGTCGTAAAAGGTCTTACGCGCACGCGTGAACGCCTCTGCGCATGTGTCAACGCGGCGCATGCGCAGAAAGTTTTTAGTTTTTATGTCCGGATTATAGATCATTCCGAATTATGGGTGTCCGAATTAACGACTTTTGACTGTACTAAAGTAAAAATAATCAGTGTAGGTCTCCTGCAGTTGAAGTCCTTGTCAAACCAGCGTTTCGACACATTTTAAATAGAAAACTAATAATAATCAATATCTCTTTTCAATATAAAAATGAGAATGCTATGAACAGTATTTTAAGTTTGCAAAGAAACAATGATTTTTACTTCCTTGTACGAAGTAAAAAGGAAGTATTGTTATCGCGAAAAGTTTCAGGCAGCATATTTCAACGAAAATATCCATTTTGACCGCTATCGAATGCAATTTAACGATGTTTTTGCGTGATATCTGTACGTAAGAACAGAATAAAATACTCTTTTCCCTCAAAAAAATTATAAAACTGCTGTAAAATTAATTCTGAAGAGAATTTTTCGTGGCGTCTGTACGAACGTATGTACGTACGTGCGTACGTACGTATCTCGCATAACTCAAAAACGAGTAGCCTCAGAACGTTGAAATTTTGTATATAGGACTGCTATAACATGTAGATGTGCACCTCGTATTTTGGTTGCAATCGGCCGCACCAAACGTATATAAATATATTTATATATATATATCCACTCTGTTACCCGGCTCAGTGATCTCAGTTTTTTACTCTTATATGTTTGTAAATTGTACATTTTTTGCTTTAAAAATGATTGAATTATGTTGTTTTTATCTTCCGGTTAAGGATTTTATGCCTTTAGTAAATCTGTGTGCAATATTTTTAGAATTATCAGCAATTTTAAAGTTGTTTAATTGCCACTAAGCCTTTTTTAATGGCGGCCATTGATGTTTACATTTGAAACAGGAGACTAGTGGATTTGTTGCCAATCTAGAGAAACTTAGCTTCAGAACAACAAAGATAACGCATTCATTTATTATTGCCAATTAAATCATGCTTAATTCTTTCTTGAATTTTTTCGAGAAAATAAGTGTTTGAGATTTACTTCGTAATTTTTAATATACATATTTTGAGTTTTTATGTAATTTGCCTTCTTGCGAATTGAGAACTGAATTCATTAAATGAGAAATACTCAATCGTCTGTGAAAAACTGTCTCTCTCCTCTTTTTTTTTTTTTTTTTTTTCTTAATTTCTTTTATACATCATTCTAACTTTATTATAGTATTTGAATCGAACATGTGGCAACGATTAGATAATTCTGTTCTTTAAATGATATAAATTTTGTGCATTATGAGTTATAATGTGAACGAAATATAATACTGATGGGGAGTCATCAGTTTTGCGCAACACAAAAAGTGAGAATTTTAGCTGATTTTCGAGTTTTAATAAGTCAAATTCTTTTTGTCATACATATATGAAATTTTCAGTGTGGCATCTTTATGCATAGATGATTATCTCTCTTGATTTATTTTACTTAATAGTGCATAAGAATTTGTTTTATAAAGAAAAAACTAACTGTATTTTCCGAAAATTTAAAATTTGTACTGAAGCACTGCACGTAAACTACAGTAATACAATTTAGTTACAGTAATAATTTTTAAGTGAATCTAGCGCCAGAGCGTCGCTATGGTAAACAATACTAGAGTGAATTTTAAAGAATGCATTTATTCTATATTCTGGTTTATTGCGCTGTCGGCAAAGTAGACTTAATTCAATCCAATAAGTTTAAATGAAATGCAAGAAAAATGCATATAATTTAATATTCCGTACAAGGAAGTCATGTGGTGTACACATCAGATTTTTTAATACTATAATAGGTTACAAAAGTACTATTCCATGAACAAACCCTCAGTCTTATAGCATTGTTACTTTATAGCATAATACAATAATAATGCAGTATAATTCTGCTTACAAGCTTAATAGCTGCCGAGCGGTAGAGTTGCTGAGCGCAGGCAGTTTGGTCCGAGGTTCAAATCCCACAAACGAGCTGGCTGGCGTTTTCGTGGCTTTCCCCATGTGTAACGTGTATACGAGCCAGTTTCCCTTAGAAAGTTCTCACTTAGAAACCAGTTTTAAAACGTAATAAAATTGCACACACATAAACAAACAAAAAAAAAAAAAAAGCCTTCAGATTTTACATTACTCCCAAAGGGCCATTTTTTTTAACGTTTTGCATGTTACCTTTATTTATTAAATATCATATTCTTCACACTTAAACCATAAAATTCAATTCAACAGCAATATTATATAATTTTAAAAAAGCATATCTTTAGATTTTCCGATACATAGTCTCGCGCGCTAGAGATGAAAATGTCTTTTCCCTCTTCCCCTCCCCCGTACAATGTTACCTTTGCTCGCTTTGAAATCGTTAGGTTTCTTAATCAAAAACTCATAAATGCTTTACGAAATATGAAATAGATAATAAAATAAATTCCCAGTTCCAAATTTGGGCCTCCAGATGCCTATATTAGGATGGAGGATTACTTTATTCAGAATTTCATGGCTCTAGGTAACGTTGTTTTATCACAGTGCGAGAAACATTCATACATTCTGCAGATTCCTCATTATTTAATTTCTTTAAATATAATAGAGTGCGATAATACTTGGTGGCAACGATTTGAAAAGTGAAACGCCATTTATTGTGAAATGCCACAAAATGGCAAAACGAAATTAATAGCCCCTCTGGGCTAAAATGTATTTTTAAAAGTATCACACTAGTAGTAGTACAGCTACTGAAAAAAAATATTATAAAGCTGTTTTATAATTTATTTGTTTTATTTTTTATTTTACAGTAGTGTGAATTTTTCGCATAATAATGAATGACATTCCTTTTTGTGTTCACAGAATTATTCGTAAGGTATTCAACTGTTAGATTTTAAAGTAAACGTAATTCTTGCTGTACATAAATCGAGTAGAAGCTTATCGGATGTCTATATTTGTATTAAATGAAGAAGGTTTTTTAAAGCATACAATTACAATTTATAATTTCAGGAATAGTATAACCTTTCTTTCAGTAGAAATTGCAATCTTGTTTTCTGAATGTGGCTCCAAATACTCTCTCAGTTCATCGCAAATTAAAATAACTATAAATTTTGGCAATCTGAAATATGCAATGAAAACATCTTTTGGCAGAGCAAAAGCATCAACATATTTTCTATAAATTCGCCACCAATTCAGAGATCTAGGACCGTATTCTTTGTTTAAATATGAAAAAATCAGCGGCGAATACACATACAAAGCCATTGTCTACTTAGTACGTCAACAGCACAAACCTGATTGACGACGTGGCAACACTTTTTCACGCACTTTCGACAACTTCTATACTCAGAGAATATAGGATGTCGGGCAGACCTGTTTTTTATTAGCAGCGACATCTGGCGGCCCACAACTAGCTGTCGACTCTCGTAGCGTAGAATAACCGTCCAAGTTCGAGTCCTGGTGAGGGTATTGCCCATTTTTCAGGTTTCCTGCTTCAAAATAACCTAATGACTCTACAGCAACACCCGAACTAAAAGGTGGTGAAAGATGATTCTTCACCACCAGGATTTGGCGACTGCGTCCCCTAATCCCTAGTTGCCCTTTAAAAGGGGGAGCATATTTTATCCCTCCTTTCTGCATACCTTCGTTGTGTACCAGTTAGCACACTCAGCACGTATTCGAGAGGTCCAGGTTCGAGTTCCGGCAAGGGCATTTTTCATGTTTCCTGCTTCAAAATAACCTAATGACTCTACAAGACTCTTATCTGAAATGATGAAACTGCTTACAAATACTACTGGGCATACAAAAATTTACTAAAATTTTTCATTTATTCATAGTAAATTAAGAAATTTTAGGGCTTTGAAACAGTAACAACTATCTTCAACTTAGAGTGAGTCTGAAGGAAGGTGAATTTGCTGCTATGTAGTCTTCAAATAAACATTATAACTTCACTGCTTTATTTTAAATATACATTCAGTGTACAACTCTCAGCATTTCAAGAAGTTATTTGTTATTTTATGTGTTTCTTCCAGTTATGACCACATTTAGATTTAAAATTAGTTTATGCCATAACCAGTTTTAATTACTATCACAGACTTTGATTTATAGTATGCATTCAGTTTCAATTTCAAAAATTAATAAATAAAAAATAACATTTATTGTTGTTTAAATCAAATTTAGATCAGTCTTAAATATGAAAATGTAACAGCATATATTTTATCATTACATTCTTCATATCTAGTTGCAAATAATGAAACTTAATCTATAAATTCATTAAGCTTTAAAATGAATGCTTTACATACATTTGGCATACTTCTGAAAACTCACATGCTCGTGTTGTATGTTTACATTTTATATATGTCTGCTACCCATTTAAATAAATGACGAATGCAAAACAAGAAAAATAGAGACTGAATAACAGATTACCTTTCTTGATACAGCAGCTGGGATAAGAAAATCATTGTTTAATTCAGGAATTAAACTGCTGTCCAACAAAGTATCTTTGACAATTGATGGAGGCGAGAATGTTACAGATGTATCGCCAACAAGAGATTTGCTCTGAAAAGGGAGCTGACACTGTAACAGCTATGCAAAATAAAATACTTCACACAAATTCACAAATTTGGTTCACAGAGTCTTCTGCCACTCTTAAAAAATGACACGCGGGCACAAGTAACTGATTGATTTGCTGATCCAAGTCATCAAACATTACATGTGATTTTGGTAAACATTTAAATGCCTGTTTTTAAGTCAAGAAATATTGAAATTGTGTTAAAGGGAAAATATGATTTGGGGTTCTTTTCTCAAGAAGGGAAGAAGGGGATAAGCATTAAGAGGTTAAATATGTCATTAAGTTTTTCCTCTGAAAATATTAACATAATCAGCTTAAAAGAGCAGCATTCTAAAAATAATTACTTTCTGAGTAAACTGTAACAGCATGAATGGTATTTGCATCTGTATAAAATTTCTGTATAAAATTTCAAGAAAAATGGGAGAAATTGTGATCTTTAAAAAAAAGTATTCTTTTACAAACTTCATTGTTCATAACTTTTTGAAATTGATTCATAATTCATTTTGATATTAAATACAAAAAACTAAAGAATTATATTTTTTCATTAAGTAAGAAAACTACATTTAGTATAACTGCATACACTGCTTCACTTAAAAGATTTATTTATAGATTTTGCTTCATTACAACATTGCATGGTTACAAATGTAAAAAATATATGTTAATTTTTTTAAGAATGAAAAATACTCACAGGTGTTTCAGGACTTGAAATATCTCTTGCCATATATATAGCTGAATCATCACTTTCTGACATCCATATTTTATGCAAAGCTTTACGAGCTCTTTTGACAGGTTGAACATTCTAAACAAATAGTGGTGAAATGTTTTACTGAAATACTAGCTTTATAATATTAATTAAGTAATTTTTGTATGTTTAATTTAGATTAATTCAAATCTGATTTCCCTTTACAGGAAAAAAAAAAAATAGTTGCACAAAACTATGAAAGCATTTCTTAAAGCATACAGTAACTTCATAAAAATACCTAAAAAAGGGAAAGACTTTTACATACACGTTGTGAAAATGAATATTGTCTCTCCCCTCTTTCTTCCCCCCAAAAAAACTTATTTATAACCTTTCCCAAAAAATTATTCTTTACCAAGAAACAAAAAAGTAATTGAAAAGTTATTAGACTAAAACTTTTAATAAGTGAATTTTGCTTAAAAAAAAAAAAAAAGAAAGAAAGAAAGAAAGCAAGATCCCCCATATGGACTGTACAGTATCACTATCAAATCTCTTTTAACTGCAAATTCTCAGAGCTGATTAATAATTGACTTTTCCTCACTCTTAGAACTGTATTTTATGGTATTTTGGACACTTCAAGGAAAAATCAGTTCTAGGGCTTTAAAAATGAAAACTTCCCAAAACTTCCAGCAAGTTGCCAAGTTTGCAAGAAATCACTCAAATGTTGCCAAGCCCTAAGGAGAATTTCTGCCCATATCTCATGCTCTAGTTGAATTAGTTTAATAACTTAAATGTCACAAAATAAATGGTAAAACTATTAATCTAAACGCAAATTTAAATTACTCAATATCACAACAAAACACCAAAACAACAATGCAATCAAAGGGATTAAATATTTACAGAAATTTACAACAATCGAGTCTCTACCATATATGATTTTGGAAATATTTTTAAAATGCATTAAACATGGTCTTTGGTCAAAAAACATGTTAAATCTATTTCCAAAAACTAAATTGACACCATTGTCTAAATACTCATAGGCCATTAAATACAGCAATATTTACCTCTTTATCTTTCACAGTAGTTTCAATGAAGGTTTCCATTTCTCCTCTTTCATTGAAATAACCTTTTTTCAGAGAATTTCTAATGGGAAATCTCTATAAAGACATGATTAAAAATTAGGATTGAACCACATTATTTAAAATTACTAAACATATACACTGAAAAGCTCCTGTATTAATTTTCACATTATTATTAAATAATTTCATAACCATACATAAAATTAATGTAAAAATATTAATATCTTTACTATATGATTGAAATATTTATCCCATTAAGTTTATTCAACTGATATTAAGGTCACTTTCCCTCCCCCCCCTCAAATTATAAATCAATGAATTAAGACCTGCTTCACTCCCTATAAATGGCCCCTATATTTTTACAGTGCAATATAAACAGTGATTTATGTTAAGTTTTAAATCCACTGCAATTCTGATTTGCATAAGCATAACATACAGTTACATCAAAATAATGAATGGTCAAGAAACAGCATAGGAAAAAGATCTACACTTCTGCCCCAAAACCAAAAGTTAATTCAGTTTCTCCTTATGTGTTAAACTTTTAAACATAAGGACTCCGCCTTTTTTTACAAAAATAAAAGTTTTACAGATTCTTGTATAGTGGCTCAATAATAGCTGTTATTTGTTGCATATTATCTTACAAATAAATGAGTAATAGAAAATTAGAGAGGTAATTAAGCATAGCATAGTAAAAAAGTGAATGCTTTCAGATCACATGAGAGATGTCTTTACACCAAACTAGTTCAGATAAGTATTTCTGCAGCATATGAAGAATACATAAAAATCCTATTCTGCTAGTCCTGCACTTTAATATTCCCCCTGGGATGAAGAATTTTAAACATCCCGTCTCTTTTTTTTCCCCCTCCCAATTTTAAACAAATTTACCATGAGATGGATTACTTCAATAAGAAATTTAATACATAATATTCAATAAAAAAGAAAAGGTATAAACCTCATTTTTGTCAATACTGCTCTTTGACATGTCACCAGAAATTTCTTTCAAAGGAGTCGGTGTATGAAGAGATGCATTCAACATGGGAAGCTTTGGTGTTTGCAATACACTAAAGGGAGGGAAAATTAATTAACTTATACTGAAATTTATCATATTAAAAAAATGAAATGAGAAAAGAGTAAAAGAAAATTTCTATAGATCAATGATGCAAGAAACAAAAATAGCATACCTTGATGATCCTCCTTCACCCAAGAGATCATACAAAGAATCATACAACTGAACTGTATTCTTTGGGGTTGATGTCAATGCATTAACGGGGCTTCTTACAGAAGGGCTGTTTAAAAACTGTGAAAAAATTAATTAAAAATATTAAAATTATTGCTCGCATATGGTAGTCTTTACACGAAACTAGTTCAGATAAGTATTTCTGCAAGTAATACAGCAATATTTACCTGCAAGTAAGTAGGCAGTAAGAATCAAATTCATATTTATACATAAATCAAATTCCATACTACATTTTAAAAACTATTTACGTGATTTTACAAACAGGTTTTTTATACCTTTAAAGTAAATTGTTAGAACAACAAAAATATGTTACAGATTTGTCAGTCACTAAGGCAATTTTCTAAGTTAAAACTTCCAGAAAAACAGACTTTTTGGTGGGGAAAGGGTACAGGAATAACTATTGATGCCAAGCTAATATACGCTTTTTTCATTCATCCTCATATAGATAGTATAATACCCAACAAAAAAAAAAAAAAAATCTTTGATAGATTTTTATACCTGGAAGACAAACAAAATCTCAAAAGGATATGATAAATTACTTTCAGCACACCTCATAATTTGTTAGGTAATTATTTAATAAATGTTCATTGTATTGGAATTTTAAGCATTATGTTTTTCAGTATTTAAAATTTTGTGCATCTGAATACTAAATAAGGTAGCAGGCACAAAAATTAACACGAGTAAGAATCATTTGACAGCTTTAAAGGATGCTGAAACTAAAATAAAGTGAATTTTAGGATTATTTTCTTGATAGTCTTTATTAGTTTAAAGATAATCAAATTGTACATATCTATGCAATTTATCAATTTTTATATATTTTGTAATTTAAATTTTTCAGAAAATTTCTTGATACCTAATGTTTATCTAATTAAATAATTTCTTTAATTTGTCAACAAAGACATAGCTTCTTCTAAGACATAACTAACACGAGTCCACATACATATAACAAATACTTAAGAATGTCCAATTTTGACTTTTCTGTGCTTGAACTCTTAACAGTGATAATAGCAATATATTTAATAATAAAAATAACTGTAATAATAACAATTTATTTGAATAAGAAATATAAAGGAGTATTGTTTAATAAGAATAAGAATTGTTTAATAAGAAATATAAAGGAGTATTGTCAATTTTTATTGTTAAGCATAATGGCATAATATTGGCAAAAATATTATGGGAATTGGTATGGCCCCAAATCATTTTAGATTATTATCTCTAATTTATGAGCATGCAAAAATTCTATATTACTTTGAAACCATGGGAAAAGCTAACAGGTTTTTCTTTACAAACAGGAAAAAGAGAAGCAATGAAAATTAAAATGCAAAATACAGTTACTGGGGGAATAATGCATTTAAAGCATGGAAACAAAAACTGTCACTCATCTCATAAAAATATCAAACACTTTAAAATAAAGCAAAAATAACTTAATGTATATATTGCAAGTAAAAAGCTTCCTGAACAAAAAGAAGTGTTATTAAATTCCTGGAAATGTGTTTATCACAATCTAAGACAACAAAGCAGATAAATACCAGACATTTACAGGCAGCAGATATAGCTTTAAAGAAATTACTGTTATCAACCAAATCAAACTACTCATATATTAAACTACTTCTGAATACAATTTTCTCATTCTTTAACCATGAGACGAAAGAATCAGAAATCATGTATCTCAGTTCAAAGTAAATCACTTTGTAACACATAAAAGAGAATCTCCTCATGCTTCACATACTATGGTTTTACACATGATGACCTAATTTACTAAATTACATTGAATTATAGGCTAACATCTAAAACAGATAGTAATGTAATTAATAATGTCATTAGATACATTTTTATTTACTATACAGTCTGACACAAGCTGCATTAGTCTGTTAAGCAAAGAACTGAACACAGTTAATCAAGAGTTTTTAAAGACCAACTGCTTTTACAGCAGCCATCAAACACAATTATTACAAAAAATAAATAATGATTTTAAAAATATGTCCAGTTAGTACAATTTCATGAGTCCAACTAGTAATTTATAATAATAGAGATGAAGACCTGTATTTATTGCTTTTAAATCACTTTGTAAATCAATAACATTGAAAGAAAAATTAAATAGCTTATGCTTTCTGAATGGCAACACACTGGCATGTGGAAGCTAAAAATATTTTATTTCATGCAGTGATAACACATTTCTTTTAACTCAATGAGTTTTCTGATTAAATTTGAAACATAAATATCTTACACTTTGCCAAGAAGCACCACATTCCTTTTAAATTGCTGAATCTGTAAACTAAAATTTCATTAAAATCTGATTAAAATATACAAACTGAATCAAAAAACAAATTCAAAATTTGTACTTCAAGGAGCTTCTGTTAGGTAGATCAGTGTGTATTTAAATTTGGTAGTTCTACATGCTGCCATTTTCCTACAATGCAAAGAACAAACTTACATACAGATTCTTTATTGCTTAATAACAGAGATACTCAAGGAGCAACATTCCACAGTTTTAGGAGACAGCTCATATGGCAACTGTACAAACTCAAACAAAACTTTTTTACTCGTGCAATTGAGCTACTAAAAATAACTAGATAAACTCTCAGAACAATATAAAATCTGAATTTTTACAACTAGTGTAATGGATAAGAAAGCCCAACTTATAAAGCTGATTAATTTTTTTTTTATATCAAGGCTGAGCAAATGATTTACTGAGCTTGATCACAAAACTTCAATCTGACTAACCAACTGCTTATAAATTGCACATGAAAAGATAATTAATTCCTAAATTTTGAAGAGAAGTGTATAAAGTAAAACCCATTTAATATGATTATTCTCATGCAGATACAAAGATTAAATAAAGTTTTCAGTGTCCCCTCCCTCCAAATTATTCTGGTAACGATATTTCTTACATATACTTCCCGTCTATCTTAAATCAATATTTGCAAATTCTTTCCCTTACTACCTCAACAATATGAATTATAATAAATGAGCATTATTTCCATTCACATACTGTGTTACAAATAGAATGATCTGGATAGTAACTCTTCCCTATTAGCTCAATAAACCTTTTTTTTTCCCCCTGCAATGTTAAAGAGTTTGAGGGAAGGGGGAAAATGCTCTAAAAATGCTTCTCTTTTGATTGCATTAAAGTTAGTTTTTTTGCTTGGCATACCTTCTGCACACATGATAGAAGGCCTGTTATGTCGATTTATCAAGCCCTATGGTTCCAATGCATGATAATTTCTAAAGTATCACGTTTTTCATTATATTATTATTCCCAGGTCAGTCAAAAAACTTCTTTGAAAACAAGTAATGATTAGCTTACTCATTTCCTTTGATGTTATATATTTGAAGTATGGATAAGATATTAAAATGCATTCTATATATGAATATGCAATAATTTTTCTTTTCTTTTTTTAAATCTTTCAACAACTAGACTAATTGTATTTTATTTCACTTATATCACAATGGAGAGCATTAAAATATTTGATGAGGGATTCTGTGCTATAATTCAAGATTTTACTGCAGTGTCCCACTTAAACATTCAGTTCAGAAACTCTCCCTCTATTCTGCAAATTTTGCATGTGCATATAATCATAGACCAGTTTATATATTCATAGAAGTATTTTTGCTAGATCAGAAGAAAAACAGGTTCAATAATCAAATAATTTTATGTTTCTGACTTTTTTTTTTTTTTTTTTTTTTTAAATCATCTAGCCGCTAAAAACATTTTTGGATTTCTATCTCAAATGCATTAACTTCCCAAGATACATCTCATTGATCAACATATCTTTTTTTATAAAAATGGATTAAAATACAAAGGAATTCCTTCTGAGCAAAGGAATTCCCTTGTTTGACCACATGATTAAATTTGCCATCTATGTTAATATAAGAAATGACGCATAAATTGTAGTACAAAAATTTGCAACATAGATTTGTAAACATAAGAAAAGTTACCACAATAAAATCCTTCATATATGTATAACCTTAGATCAGGACCTCAACATCAAATCTGGCAATCTTAAAAACTTTTATATTAGAAAAATTTTGATGCTACAATGGAAATATTTGCATATTCATAATCTTAAATTTCATCATAAATAATTACTCCATTTTTTAAAATTAAGAATTCTGCTCTTTCAAGCCTTAGAAAACAACCCCAAAATCTCTGAAAAAATATGATTCTGAAATCTTGCATGAGTGATGATGCAAGTGATGATGCACACATTATAGTTTCTCTCTCCAACAAAACTTAAGCAGAATGATGAAATAATACAATATGACATCATTTAAAGCAACAATGTTGCATTAAGACTTTTTAGTTATAATTTACTTTAACTCATAAAAAAGATATGTATCATTAAATCTACAGCTCATACTTAACATTAAATACTAGCCATATTCAATCTACATGGGAAACTAATTGCAGATAAAGAAAAGTTAGTAAGATTTTTAATTATCTTACCTGAGAAGGAGAGAAAGTGAGTGGTTTCAGAGGTGTATTACATTTGACAGGTGTGGAGTTCTGAAAATAATTATGAATTTCAGAAGTTGCTGAATAAGGCTCCGGAGAAAATCCATTTGATTCATCACTCAAAGATATTGGCTCCTTTTTAATAGTAATATTTGGAGGCTTTATGGGAGAAAAATTAATATTCTGAAGGGTTTCCAGAATTTGAGGAACTAACTCTGGAGCTGGACTGGGAGCTGCACCTTGTGAAATTAAATTCAGCAACTGCTGTTCAGTATCTAAGCTAATATCTAATAGACTTTCTTGGCCAGGTTCGGTCACAAAAGATGTATCAGATGGAATCTATACAGTAATTAAGGGATGAAATAATGTTATAACTAGAAAGCTTATACTAAGTACTACATACAGCTTTTGCAATTACTTTCTTTCTATATTATACTTCTCTCTGTCCCATAACAATAGTAGCAATTGATGAATTTAATTTATCCCATAATACTAGGGGGGAAATACAAAATGCAACATTTACTATCAAAAAAATTAGATTAAATTAAAAATAAATTTAAAATATTACTCCTAATTTTTATTCAAAGTGTTCAGATAGTTTCTGGGTTTTTCAATAATTTTTGTTACTGCATTTTAAACTTGTAGGCATGATGCCTTGGCTATGAAGCTTTAATTTCACTATATGCCCAAACTTAAAACTATTGGAGCCATCATTCTTCATTGCTTCCAGCATGACTTGTTGAAGTGGCAGAAACATATTATCCAGTATTTGGGGAGAAATATAATCAAAGGCTATGTTTACTGTTTTTATGGTGCTTCTTCGGCCAAAAGAAAAATGTCTTTCTCCATAATCTTTGCATTGCGGCCACAGTTTTGTTTTTTAAACGAATCAGCATTAGCATAAAATTCACCTTGGCAATTATTTTTGGAAACACATTTCCAAATTCTAATTATGATCATTCTGCTGCACGTAATTGTTTTGCACCCTTCTGCAATTTTTTGTTTTTCTTTTGATGTATTAAGAGCTGGAGAACTGGAACTCAATATTTGCTTGAAACTTCTGTCCTCCCCCCCCACCAATCTTACTTTTACATTGGGTTGATATTATGCTGAAATAAAACTATTGATTTTGATAAGTGGATAAAATTAGATATATAGTTATTATTCGAAATAATTAGTTAGTTTAAAAATCAAAAGATGTATCAAAACAAATGACAGATTCCATGAAACATTGATTTTGACTTAAGGCTTCACAATTTTGTGCTAGAACATAATTTACAGATGCATTCGTTAAAAATTCACTTGCTATTATTATTAAAAGACAGAGGGAGTACATAAATCACTCGTTAGTTAAAAGATGTAAGTAGTTGCAAGATACAAAGTATTCATTAGCAAATAGTTCACTTCATTAGTTGGATTGAATGACACATAAATGCATCATGCATATTTTGTTTCAACTATTTATCATGATATTTAATTATTTCCCTGGACCATAATTCAGTTCAATGAATTTAGATTAGATCAAAACATTTAATGAGATTCAGATGTCATTTTTTTACTATGAATTCACCATCAACTAGAATTATTTAAAAATATCAGTTATTTAACATGATGTGCATCATATCATGCATAAAGAAATAACATTGTCAATTTGCATACAGGTTTGTTAGTTGCACATATTACAATTATTTTAAATTCTATTAACACTCAAGCTTTAATTTACTTAATGTTCATTATTTTCTTGGCTTTGGTCACAATAATTTGCCCAGACCAGAGCTTTATGCAAAATTTAAATTACATACAAAAAAAGTTAGCTATGGCTGGTTTTTAACTGCAAATCATGCTGTTGTAGAATCACAGCAGAAATTGCTGACTTGTGATTAAATGTATCAGTATATATAAATGAAGTTCTTCAGGAAATGATATTAACAGAGGTGTGTGATTCTGTTCAGAAGGATAAAAGGTATTAATATGTAAATGAATAAATGTATTGTAAATGAATTCAGGCATTTTTATCATGTTAACCACAAAATGATGCTGCAGACAGAAGCTGTTAGCCTATTGTTAAATTTGAAATCACAAGTAGTGCAATCTTCTTTTGTACATTATTTTTAATTTGTAACATCAGTTTTGGAATTTCTAACTGTTGATTGACATTTAAAAGTCTTCATTTTCTGACTGAGGCAATAGCTCATTGAAACAGTTTGGATAGCTCACACTAATTAGGTTAGGTTAGAAGTACAATACCCGAATTATGTTTTGTACAGAGGTAATGACTAATATTTAAATGAAAACGGTACAAATTTCTATAAATGATTATATTAATGGTCTTAAAGAAAATTATATGAGGGCAAATCAGAAGTAGAGACAAATTCTACACAACATTTATAAAAATTCTGAAAAAACGAATATATTAGTTTTCTGCACTGAAGACAGAGCACTTAGCTGTACCATTTCACTGGCTTCTTTTTTCCTTCAAAAAACATTTTCCAGCCTCCCTTTTGAAGCCAGTTTTGCACAAGTCTCATGCATATTGGTAAGGTGCTCGGGAATCCCCGTCATCCAAATTTTATAATGCTGTAGGTATCAAGAACAATGGCTTCTGCGTATTCATAGCTAATTTTCATGTGTGTAACCAGTTCTAATAGCATTATTCAGTGGTTTTATCTAATCAAGAATTTATTCTCTGGACCTGCACCTCCTGGACTTCAACTTTCAAGCTTAATGCCCATCTTGCTTTTCAACTGTTACTCTCACTTTAAATCCATCTGGTCACTCATAAACTTTTCATTCTTCATGGTACTTGTTCCATAATGAGCCAAAAGACAGTGATGTATTAATTCCTTTCCTTAAAGAAAGCTTACTATGCTGGTCTTCAGCAATAGTAGCAGAGTAGAGGATCTATTTTTCTGCCCTGGTTACTACCTGAATGAAAATGAACAAGTTGTATTTACTGAGCTATCCGTCAACTGGTGAAAGCACGTTGCACTATGTCAGCTCCTTTCTCTAGCAGTTACCATGTAATTTACTAATTGTCTTACTTTCTGATTCATTTACATACATGCTTTTTGGTTTAGCTGATCAGTGAAAACTGAAGTTATATCACAGAATATGAAACACACACACACGTGAAATGTGTGTTATGAAACACACAACACATCAGTAACACACACACACACACACACAAAAAAAAAAAAAGAGAGAGAGAGAGAGAAAGAGAGAGAAAGAAAGTTCATTTAGCATTTTGCATTAACATAACACGACAAAGAATATGTTAAAATACAGAATTCATACAGTATTTTAAATTACTACTACAAATTCAAACTATCAACAGTCATTAATAAAAATGAATTTTTTTAAAATTTTTCAATAAAACATCACATTTTAATAAAAATATTTAGACTCAATAATAACCTAATTCAGAGGGAAAATAATAATCAGTCAGTTTGTAGAATCAAAGAAGTAAAATATCACTTTTTTAACCAGTTTGTTGAGCATGAGGGTGAAAATTTTTTTCCAAAGAATTCCAGTTTAAGCTTCTAATACAGAAAGTATAGAACTTTATTTAATGATAAAATTATAAGCCATACTTTCCATATAAGCTACTCATATATTTGGAAATGAATCACAAAACATATAGTGACGTCAGCTCCAGTTTTTAATACATAATGGCATGATGACTTCATTAATGTAATATTTGCTATTTGAACAAGGAGAAAAATAACATTTTTAAAAAAGTTCAAGAACTGAAAGATAAATTTATATATGCAATTTAATAATAATAAAAAAAAGCCTTAAGTTTGCTTTCATTTAAGAAAGCCAAAATAAAGCAGCCACTAATCATTTTAAAATTCATCTCCATTTTCAGTCTTACAGAATCCACTACTACTGCATTCCCATAACCCATGAGATGATACTGCATTTGCTCTACATGCTACACCGAATAATTTACTACAACCTCTTTTGTTTCAGCCATTTCCATACAACTTTTCTGAATACTTTAAACGTATTTTGCCAATCATGCAGTAATTGAATGAAAAACCTTTAGGAGACAAGCAAGAAAAACTGGTCTCAACTGAAGTGTGGAGAACAAGTTCAGAGGGTGCTATACTTCTTGTGACCTAAGACAAAAGAAAAGGCTGCATAATTTTTATTGATATATATTGAATTAAAAAGTTTTATTTGCAAAATACTTTAAAAAGTCTTAATTATTCATTTAATTATCCCTAGCTGAATCTTAACTGTGAAAGGTTTCAAAAACTAACAGCTATCTCACTAAAAATATGACTTTGCCTAAATAACAAAAAGAAAATTAAAAGATATGCAATTGACTTTTATATGGTTGAAGATTAGGAAAAAAACAAGATTTTTTTTTTTTTTTTAAATTAAATCTCCCATCTTGCTACTTTTACAGCTTTTAAAAGGTAAGGATGCATGACAAATTAGACTTTTTTCAGTTTCCTCTTATTCACACAATCAATTTGATTTTATGAAAATTATTAAAAAAGTGGGGCAAAAATTATAAGATGAAATTGTAAAAGAAAAACATTATACTGCATTTTAACAAATTATAAACACTTACAGTTTTTCTAAGCAGAAATAAGTTACTGATAATTAAGTTACTAATAAGTAATTAAAAAGAAAAATTTAATGAAAAATATTCTAGACATATTTATATATAATAGTTATAAATAATTTTATATATGTTTTATTTTGGCTTTATTTCATTACATGACAATATGCTCCAAACAATTTTCTACAGAAAGATAGAAAACATCAGCATTATCAATTGGCCAGTGACAAATTAAATATCTTGTTCTTATGTTTTATAAAAGAGTTGTTGTTTTCAAAGTAAGTATTAACAATACAGAGTTGTTAAAGTGATGTATTCTATTTTGTTCTTTATTTACTAAAATAGCTAACTTTAAGAGATATATTTCTCATGTTTAGAAAATTTTTACTGTCAAAATGAGCTCATGACGAAAGTTCCACCCCCTTTGGAAGATTCATGCTAGCCCATGTATATCTTTCTAAAAAACACTGTTTGGAGTTTTTTGTCCTATAGTCCAATATTTTCTTCACATGAATCAAAGGATACATTTAGTTCTTTTCTCCTTTTAAAGTTAGTCTTTGGTGAAGCAAGTTTTGTCATTACAGGTGATGGAATTGGGATCAAATTATCATTTGGGGCTGCTTCTTTTAAAGCCTGGTATATACTTCCATCAAAAGTATACGCTTGAAATAAAAATAAAAAAGCATAATCAGATGTTTCAGACTATAAATATTTCTCATTATATACTCAAATTAAAGAAAAGGTAAAATAATAAATATTGTAGCAGGTAATAAACATATAAGTACAAAATATTACATATAGTATTTTTTCCCACCTTCATGGAATTAAACACACCATGCATACCAATCTAGTTTACCAAACATGACTTCTGAACAATAGTTCTGAAACATGCATGGTGACCCAGAACACAATAACGGGCGATAATTATATAAGATCATATGGTCACATGTGTAATCCTGAAGTGCTAAACATCCATAAAAACATAGATAAAGTAAACAGAGATCAGTAGAAAGCAGGCATTGAAAGATGTGAAGTTTGTTTATTGTAAGTAATTGTAACTTCAATAACTCTGAGAAATCTAAGGCTTAACAGTGAAAATTAAATATTAGACTCTTCTTAGTTATTCTGCTTAATAAGCAATACCTCTTAATTAAAAAAAATTCCAAGTAAAATATTAAAAATATTTATACTGCTTTTCCCTCCCCTTTTTAAAAACAATTACTAAGTACTAATTCAGAAGTCAAACAACAAAAATCAGCGTTATATTTTCAAAATTTTCACAAGACTAGTTTCGATGGTTTTACCGAACCACCATCCTCAGCTGCAAAACTGCAAATGAACAAAATAGGAAATAATGATTAGATAAGATAAGAAAGCCTGGACAAGAATAAGCAAGTGGCGCCATCTGTTGGTGAAACCACAACTAAAACATAATTGCGCCACTTGCTTATTCTTGTCCAGGCTTTCTTATCTTATCCTATCTTGTTCATTTGCGGTTTTGCAGATGAGGATGATGGTTCGGTAAAACCATCAAAACTAGTCTCGTGAAAATTTTGAAAATATAACGCTGATTTTTGTTGTTTGACTTTTCAATTAGTATTTATTCGGCGTGTTATTGTGTCTTAATTACGAAGTACTTTTTTTTATTCTAAGACTTATTTCAAATAAATCTATTTCCATTACTTTTCACACATATAGTAAGTTGGCACATTATGGAACATACGGCATAAAATGCAATCAACACATCCATCACTACAGGTAAAATGCGGGAAAAAATTGGGGTAGTTCTATATCTCCCTTTCTACTGGGCTGATTGACGAAATCCAAATTGCATTTCTTATGTCTCGAAAGTGTGATTTAGGATATATATTAGATTTATATATAGCATTGTTCTAATATAGGTATTCTGATACAAAATCAGACTTTTTTTGAAATGACGTGCCAATTTTTTTTCTATAATTCTATTCTATGACCTAAATTATGCAGAAATATTAAATATTGTAAAATTTGGTGTGAAATTTAGAGAGAAATTCAAAAATTTATCTTGCCACATTTTTTTCAGTTGCGCCAAGACTAATTCACTTGACGAACTTCTTAATATATGACAAACTATTTTCCCCTCCCTTTTTACACTGTGCATAAGCAGAAAAATAGCCACATCATTCTTACTTTCAAATAATTTTAACAAAGTACCTAAATCACATTTCATGTTATCATCGCTTTGAACAAATAATCCAAATTTCAAAACGCGCCAATAAATTCAAGTACGTCTTCGGAAATTTTGAATAAAAAAACTCTCATTTTTTGCAGATATGCTTAGATATACATCATCTTTAAGATGATGATGATACAAATTTTATAGATTAAATTTCAATTTTTTTTTCAAAAAATTTATAAAAATTATTAAAAAATACAAATTTTAAAAATAAATAATAAAATATGGGCAAATTTTATTTGGAATGAACCTAAATTTCAAAATGTGAAAGGAAGAATCAAATGAGTTTAATTTAAAAAAAAAAAAGAGATATTAGTAAATATATACCAAATTCAATTAACATGGAGGAGCTAAAATTCTGAGAGCTAATTTTTTAAAAACTACTCGTGCAATTTTTACAAAACTCGACAGTTTGGCATTATTTGAGTCGTACAATCGGAATATTGAAATAAGTTGCCATGTCATTTCAGAAAAAGTTCGATTTTGTGTCAAAATACCTATATTAAAACAATGCTATACATAAATTTAATACATAAGTTGTGCTTTCGAGACATGAAAAATGCAAGTTGAATTTTGTTAATCGGAGCAGGAGAAGGAGAAATATAGAACTGTGACCCCCCTTTTTTTAAATAAAGCAATGCTCATTTTACAATCCAGAGAGAGAAGCAATTTTTAATGAAAATTGAAGTAATAATGTCATCTAGCAAGCAATAGGAATACCGTACAGCTTATGAGTTGCTTCAGAAGAAAAAGCATTCATGTTGTAACTGTAACCGAGAAAAGATTTTGCATACTGCGAGAAAACAATATTTACCCATGAACCAAAAGGGAAAAAGCATTTATGTCCAACTTCCTTTATCAGATTTATTCATGTTTCCCTTGTCTCTTGTAATGACAGCCTGTTAGTTTCATCTATTGCAATGGGGACTGCAAGGAGATATTTTTTAAGATATGATCTAGGCCAAGGAATAGGAATACATTGTGCGTTGTAATTTTTGGCAGCCTCTCTTGCCAACTTTCTACCAACTGATTACCATGTGATCCAGCATCAGCCTTTATCCAACAAATATTGACATGAATCCTTTTGCTGTTTTGCAATAAAAGCTGAAACTTGCAATTAAGTGGTAATGTCTGTGAATAATTTGAAACAGCAAAAGGTACTAGCATACTATCAATATAGATATTTGAATGAAGAAAATTATTGTTTACATTACATTCAATTACTTTACAAATATCTAATGCTTCTACTTGAAATATACTATTTTTACTGCAAATGCCCTTTCCACTGATACTTAATCAACCTCTAGTAGAACAAATGTGCATTCCAAATTATCATTAATTCTATAGCCATAATTAATTCTATAAACAGTGGTTTCCAACCTGTTTTGCCTAATGCATCCATTTCACCATTGCTAGATCTTTCACCCTTTCTAAAACTAGAAAACACATACATATTTTAAACGGATTCCGGTTTGAAAAGCCAAATCGATTTAATCATATATTATTAAAAATACTAATTATGATTTGTAACAATCATTAAAAAATTTCAGGAATACTTTTCTTTTTAGAAAAAAGGGTTCTACGAATTATCTTATGGTTGGCTTTTGTTAGACAAAGCTCTTCACAGAAGCCCACTACAAGTTGATTCGTACAGACATGCTTCGACTTGTCTCTGCTGTACAGCTAAAACAAGTGCTAAGCGAGTAAGTAACTCATAGCAGTGCAAAAGTGGCAAGTCAAGAAACTACGAAATAACTCGTATTGGGTGTCCTTAAGAAGATCGCTAATATGAGTTATCTCATGTTGGGCAGTCAATGTGTAATATTCAGATTACCTTTTAACATGTTTTATAAATTAAACAATAAAAAGTACAGAAAACATTGATAAATACCAAAACTTAAATTAAAATAGTTTCTTATATTCATAAACTAAAACTAAATACTTAACAGCCAAATAAAATAAAACATTTCAATCAGTAAAAAGTTCAATAATATGCCTGGGTGTTGTAATTAAGTTTTTTTTTTTTTTTTTTTTTTTTTTCCCCTGCGTGTGTGTGTCCAATGAAAAATCTGCAATTGTGTTTTCATCACCAGTTCCTGGATACACAAAGCAGTGCTTAAAAGGGCACAACACAGGTCACTTTCAACCTCCAATCTATTTCATTGTGTTGTTTTTATAGTATTACCACAGAGCTGAAAAGCCAGACTCACAAAAATATATTGACACAAATGGAAGCAATGCACAGAGTAACTCATAGCAGTGCAAATAATACATAAGATAGCTCTCTCTGCTACTCTTGCATAAGGTTTGCACATCAAAGGCCAAAATTCTGTGACAAATTTGCAGGAACATTTTCAACTCACAACCTGAATGGATTTGCCATATGTCCTCATCAGGAAGTACAAGAAAATATTCTCCAAATTCATTTTCAAGTGTTGTCAAATATTGCAAAATTTCATTTTTTGAAAATTCTGGAAGTGTTTGATCATCCCCATTAGCAACAGGAAATGATTACAATTTCTCAAACATTGCAACATTTTTCATGTTAATTTTTTTCTTCCAATTTTCTAATTTACTCATAAAAAAGCTTTCAAAGAATTAATGAATTTTATATCGTGTTTCTTCCTTACATTTGAAGATTAAATTTATCCAGCTGCTAAAAAATATCAACCATACTGGTAAGGCACAAGATTCGTTCCTCCTCAATCATCCACACAACAAATTCCACTTTGCTCTTAATTTCAAAATATAATTTAAGCTCATTTCTTAGCTCAAATAACTTGCTCAATTACATTTCCTTTTGAAAGCCACAGAACATTTCAGTGAAAAACAAACAATTTGACGTCTGCATCACTGTCAATGTGTAACTGTTTGAAAAGTCATACATTGAGAGCTCCTCTCATGATAAAATTTTCGATTTGAACTTTTTGATCCCAAACTATCTTTAGTGGAGTTGGAAGTGTTTTTGAGGCTAGTACTTGGTGATGGATCACACAGTGGATATCTTTTAAGTTTAGAGACAGCTTTTTCACTTTGACTTGAAATCCAGATTTTGTACTCAACATGTTCTACATCTATGCAGAACATGTTGAACATGCAGAACATACCCCAAGAAAGATTTTGAATCAAAGAAAAATGGAGCTTTTTCAAAAATATTTGAGGCTGTGTTGGTTGTGAACAAAAAAAGGAACTCTTTAAGTGAGTACTTTAAGTATAAGTAAAGTTATCCTGCAAACATCAGAAAAACTGAGAATACTTACATTATGTATTCATCAAGTGGAACTGAAAATAAGTCCAAATGCTGAAAATCTCCTGCACAATTTCATTCTTGATATCAAATGCCATATCACTGATTCTCCTTTGAACAGTACTGTTTGACAGTGAAACTGCTGCAATTTCCTTCTCCATTTCCTTTCCAAACACATTTCTCATCATTTTGAGAGTGCA